CGTACCGTACCTACTACTACTAACGTAAGTAGTAGGCGTTCTTACTTACTACGTAACGTTACGTCACGAACAACAACGAGTAGTAGAACCTACCTCTCTCTCTCTCTCTCTCTCTCTCTTTCTCTCGCTCTCTCTCTCTCCACCAGGGTGGAAAACATAGTTTTCAATTTCATTATCAAATTATCAACAAAGCTAACCAATTGTTACAGGAATGTTGTATATATAAACCAGTAATTTGCTGAAACTATAAAATGAATACCATAACAAAGTGTGAAAATGACTAGATTACCCTTGTGCCCTATTTAGGTATTTCCCATACTTGCATGCAATTTTCATGCACTCAAGTTCCTATACATGAAGCCAAACTTCTAAGTATTGAAACTAATACATTTTGACCTTTGGACTCATGGAAATTTTCACACAATAAACTACTTAGTCTCTACACCAAATTTCCTAGACCTCAATCCGAAAATGACCAAACTAACAACGAGATAATGACAAACTCATCCTGGGACTAAAAACAAAGAGAGTGACAAATTCATTCCAGTAACCTAAAACTCCTAGATGCAATTTGCATTAGCAATCAACCACTTGGAGTTCAAGCATTGGATGAGTTTTGGGTTCCCTAAAAGGTGGAGAGTCAAATAACTTTCCGTACTTTTAATTAGAAAGTATTTATGTTTAAAAGCATGACCACTTTTCTCCACTTTTGAATGCTCTTAGCAGAAAGGAACTTTTCCCTGAAGTATTGGTTTCTGATAAGAGAGAAAAAAGATCTTATCTGGCAAAATTTAATAGAACTTATTTTCTGTTTGCTTTGTCACACAGGATGCATTTATGCTCTCTGTCGATAGGAAAGGATTTGACATCCTTGGCAAAGTCTCAGGTGCAGTCAGCAAGGATAGGTTTGGAGAATATGAATGGAAAGAGTTTAGAATACCATTCCCGGAAGAAGTTGGTGACATCGAGTCTTTTTGCCAGAAACTTGTAGAAATGGAGGAAGAAGCGGTGAAGAATGTCCAAAGTTTCAGTGGCCTTGGATGAAACTTTCCCGGAGCTCAATGCATGACTTGGTATTTCTTTTTGGCAGTTTAGTGGAACTGGAAACCTATAGATAATACAAGGGTTTCATTCAAAACAAGTTAATGCCGGCAAATGAGAGGGGGGTGGGCAGGTCTACTCAAGGCATTTGAGAGAGAGAGAGAGAGAGAGAGATGCTTTTGAAACCGTTGTTCTTGTGAATATGTAAGATTTATTGACCCTTCATGTAGCAAAAGGGAGAAAAAATATTTGCTGTTATTTATTTGCAACAAACAGGATACAGTTATTATATCCAAGCGCCCCTCAACAAGAGTGTTGCATACTATAGGGTGGGATTTCAAATTTCAATTGTGTTAAAAGGCTGGGATAGGGAAGCTCTCCAATTGAAGGGAACTCTTTGGATGTATTTAAGAAAAATAAAACGTATTATGTTGTAGAAGGAATTTTTTTTTAAAGTCCAATATTTTATTTTTTGTGAAATTTGGAAAAATCTTGGCACTTCTCTAATATTTTGAATAATTTGTCAATATTTTGAAAAATATAGCCAATTCATTCAAAATAAGGAGTGGATTTGCTTCCGTTAGGTTTAAGGGCCGAAGTTGAAGACTCCGGCGGATTTGAAGCGGATATGGTTTCAATAGTTAGTTTCAATTCATGTAAAATGACTATAATATAAGTATTTTTGAAACTCAATATTCGTTCGGTTTGATAAAAAAAAGCTGTCAAAAGAAAACGAAGCCCCAGACTATCATTTCAGTGAAAAAAGATGTGGTTTGGATTTGACACAAAAGGACTAACTATATTGGGTGATATTGGGTGTATATCTAAGAGGAGGCTGGAGTATTGTACTGGGCACGATTTCTATGCGTTCCTGGACTCATAAGTAGAAATGCATGCGCCCTTAATAATTCTTTTTTCAAATAAATATTTTTAAGTATACTATCCTAGAGCATTGTGTTACAAAAAAAAATTAGAACAAAAAATAAGATTTTTTAGAAATTTTTTTCAGCCATTGATTTTACCCTTTTTTCCGAAGGGACCAACTCTTGCATACACGGTGTATGCCTTGGGGGACATAAATGTAGAAATGCGTACCTTGGCGCATAAACTATGTTTCCTTGTATTAAATTTCAAAAAAGAAGAAGGAAGAATGTCAATTCATAATACAAGTACGTAACCAGTAAATTAAGAAGTAGCTGCTCAAAGGAAAACGCACTTGATTGCATTTTGACAAAAAGTAACGAACAAAATAATTTTAGAGGTAATTTTTAAAGGTCACTATAGAACATTTAATAATTGTACTCAACAATTTTTATACAATTATGTATCTTTATTTTGTAATAGGGTGTGGTTTGTATAAGGTTGTAACCTTTAACAATCAAATTAAGGTGCACCTCCAATTTTTATCATAACATGTAAAATCTAATTTGAAATCTAGTCAGATAGCCATGAAACTGGCATAGATGTAGTTGTAGGAAATTGAAGAATTGATGAGCATGATGCACATTTGTAGGAAGCATAATGAAGGGGGTGATTCTCAAGCCAGAGGTACTGTCACTTGGTGGCTTGAAGTTTGGGACTGTATGCCCTCGTTGTAATTCTTTAATGTGGTGTACTTCCTGTGCACCTCCTTCAGTTAATAGCCATTGACAATAGTAGAAAAAGGAAACAAATATGTAACGTAAGTTTGTACCATATAGTAGCCAAGAATAGCCTGGCTAGATCTTTGGAACCTGAAGATGCCCTTGGTCACTTTCTTCAGCAACCTTTGAAGGTACGAACTTTTCATTTTTTGCCATTATTTATTCAACAACCTTTAATGGTACGAACATTCCATGTTTTACCATAATGTAGCATGGTTAGATCTTTGTGACCTGGCGAGCACTTTTATGACTTTGTTCAACAACCTTTGATAGCATGAACATGAAATTTGTGCCAGCATAATTTCTACGTCTTACTAGATAAAAACTATGTATGACCAATACCAGTTTATACCAGACATGATTTAGTGTGTTATTTGACCTGTACTTGTTGTCTGAGTGCAATATTATGAGATTCACCTTTTTCTCTTTCTTTTTTTTTTTTTGTTAGGGTGGGGGGGATGACTGAGAGCCCTGTAATTTGTGACTCATGTCCAGGTCATGGAACTTGATCTTCAGTCCCTTGATTCTGTTGTAAGATTTGCGTGCGCATGGAATGCACGATCACTACCATTAAATGTTTTGATCAATAATGCTGGGTTATTTTCAATTGGACGTTTGTACGCGTAATGTTTAATTTATGACATTTCCTCTCTGATTTTACCTTTTCTTGATGTTGGAAGAATACTGAGTTCTAGTTACTTTTATCATTCTGGTGGAGTCTGGAATTTCTGTGATTGTTGTCTGTATATGCCTATTCACTTTTACAGTTTGCTTCTCTGTGATGGTTAAAAAATATTTGTATCACATCGTTGTGGTATTGACGTTTAAATTTTCTGTCAATTCAACCATTATCTCCAAGGCATTTTTTAATAAATATTTTCTCAAGGTATTCAAAGCATTGTAGAATTGAGCACATTCTGACAATCAATGAAACAAAAAGACTTAAGCATGTGTTGGAGACCATCGTGGTCAGCAAAATTAAAGAGTTGGGGTGACAAAGCATTTTAATTAAATAAATTCATATACATGCAACATCGACATGTTGTTAGGGACACATGCCACAGGGGCAAACAAGCCATTCTTTACCGTTGATTATGGTCAAAGAAATCCAGTAGGAGCTAAGGGTAGTACATACCCCTACCCTGGTCTCTGCCATAGGGTGGGAGGAGTGGAATGTTCAAATGGATTTCACTATTTTGAAATGCTGTCTCTCCTGGTCTTTCTCTGCTCTGCCTAACTATCATTTGTTAATTTGATTGCATGTGCAGCATTCATACTACACACTTTGTAGATTACGAGTGTTTGATCATTTGAAGACGTTGAAACAAGTAAAGAATTAATGACTGGTACTAAGTTGAAATCAAGTGGATCAATAAATATATGAAAATCTTGAAAATGGACAGTCTAGATAATGTTTTACACGATGCACTATATTTTGGACTCAACATCTTTTTTTTTTCATATTCATACAGCTAGTTGAGATAATCAATTAGAGGGTTTTTCAACATTAAAACAACCTTTTCCGAGGGATTTTTGAAGTACATCTTTGATTCAACATTAAAACCACCTTTTCCGAGGGATTTTTGAGGTGCATCTTTGATTCTACATTTTAAGATAGCAACCTCATATAAACTTTTTCCTTTGTAATACAATACTTTTTCATTGTCTTTGATATAAGACTCCATACAAATAAAAGTTATTTAGAAAATATTAATTTTATTTGCAACCAATTAATTGGGCAAAAGCTAAAATGATGATGATGGTTTCCAATTGCTATTGGATAAATACATTAATTTTTTATTAATTTTTTTTTTCTTTTTTTTCATATCCCCACTTACTCTCATCCCCTCTTACATTTATATTTAAAATGTACTACATTAGTTTTTTTGTTTGTGAATTTTTTTGTTATTTTTGCTCACCTTGCATTTATATGTTCAATGCACGTAAATCTACTAGTAAATTGTCAATTATAATTACATTTTTTTTATTGTTTTCTCAATTCTCACATATGCTCAATTATCTATAATTATAATTATATTAATAATTAAGAATATAACATTAGAAATATAATAAAAGATTTGATTAATTAATTTTTATAATCATATAATTATGAGAATATAAAAACTGATAATTGGATAAATGAGAGAGGGTCAGAGATAGAGTTAGCATAAAAGACAAAAAAAGATTAAAAATAAGATTAACATATACAAAAAATGATATAATTGGAATATATTAAACATCAACCTGACAAAATCGACATTTTAAAAAACAGTTGTTACAGGAATAAAGTGAGTTCTCTTCTCTTCTCGCTTAATATATAAAGATAGATAGAGACAAAGGTCGCCAAATACCCTTGTGTTTAAACAGACTCAGAAATCTAATTAACTTCTATAATTTCCATCTTTGTGCCCAGCACGTCACTTGTCTCTCCCTATATATTGCATGTGCCTCACCACCATATTCCACTAAGGGGTTCAATTGTAAAACCCAACTTGAACGAAATTCCAATACTTCAAATGATAATGCTACACGACTAAACAATAACTTAAACCATTTTCCGAAACTCTCTAAAATCCCTACAACACTAAAAACCGAAAAAGAAGCTCTAAAAATCCAACAAAATGCATCCCTTGATCCCAACAACTAAAATCCAAACAAACTCAAATGTGCCCATCCTGTATTTGCACAACACCACGACCAACTCAGGAAATGTTACTGAGAATCCTAAAACACCCGTTAACAAGGATGTTGGGGTTCAGGATTCCACTGTGGCTTTGCTACAGAGTCGGAAATATCTGTCATCTTAAACATCTATACATGGGAAGACCTTCAATTGGATGGGTACTTTGTAATGATGAACAAAAGAAACAACTTACCAAGATACCACCCTTCCAATACAATGGCCTTGGTTGGTTACTCCTACAATACAGAAATCAACACCATGTAATGTCAAGAAAGAGCCAATGTGACAAAATTACGTCAACCTGCAACTCAAGTGGTTGGCACATTTGTTGAATCTACCCTCCGTCAACCTACCATAAAATGAATGGTGACCAAAATATGCAGATTTGCATTGTAGCCGTTTCCCAAATTGTTCCGAGAGCCAAGTTGATTCTCCAATGAGAACTACCGGTAATTCAGAAAAGGCGTACATGTTCTAGTCAGCCAGAACTAGGAAATCATCGATATGGACGGTACATTATATTCATACCTCATTGGGCCCCAGCTATCTTTGCCTTCCCAACTGTAGGAATTCCTTAATATTGTTTATTATTCCCTTGTCATATGGATTTTTAAACCTTATTCTTTCAAATGGGATCCCTGAAACTCACAGGTCAAGATCAAGAATTAGCATATATTACATGGAAAGAATATATGTTATATAGGGAGCATCAACAAAATGGACTTAAAAATTTGAATATAAACTTACAAACTTAAAAGTAAATGAGATAACCCCTAAATTTTGAACTGAAACAAAAGAAGTTACATCAAATGAGACTGATATAACGATCACCTGGTTCAGGTTGTACTACTGTCTGGAACTCCGAATATTTTGTCCAATTTACCTACATGTAAGAAGTCTCCTTGATTAAATGTTAAAAGAAAGAAAAAAAGTGGTATTAGATATTGTTTTAGAATTTACCCATTCATCTGTTTTGATGTTGCAGCAGATGCAGTAAATGTGCCACATCAGGAACACCAACTAGCAATCGTTCATGATTCATGTTAGTAAAAATAAATTAACTTCTCCTGGGTAAAGAAATGGAGCCTAAAACATTTGCATAGGACACAAATGTGTTCTAAATATCAAAAGTGCTTAGGTGGCCCAGGCTTTTGAGTATAGTAAGTTTGACTACCTTGTCTTCTTGATACTTCATTTTAAAAATTCCAGTTTTGGACGGGGCAATGTAAGGAATTACAAGGGGAAAATGTCATGAGAAGCTTCCTTGACTTGCTCAGGCATTTCTTAAAAGCTTTTTTGAGTATTTTGAGCACTTTTGTGTCCTATGAAAGTGTTTCATGCACTGCTGTGTCATTTTCACTTTCAAGTTTCCTTGTTGGAAAACATATAGAATAGTCTTCTGTAAGAAACACAACTAAAAGCAACAAAAATTAATTTGTAACAGAAGCATTATAGAGAGTACATAGCAGTTGCACGTGGAAAATAAAGTAACTATTACATCTGGGGAACATGGCTCTGTATATAGAAGAGGATTCTAAACCTTTTCCAAATTATGTCTTTAAGTGTGTAAACCAATACTGTTGACAGAGAGTTTTGGTCATACATCCCTAGACACAAATGTTTTATAGATAAAACATGTTATAGTGAGGGGAAGTTGTGATCTTCCTCTGTATCAAGGATGTGGTAGCCAAGTTCAGGCACTAGCAGAAGTTAAGAAGTGATCTTTTCATTTATCAGAAAAGGCCATCATCGATAACCTTCGGATAACTTGGCAGCAGTAGGGGGCTGAATCCTCTACTTCGATAGCGTGGTCTTTTCCTGGGACTCATAATTATAAACTCAATATTGATGGTGCTTCCTTGAGAAATCCAGGTTCAGCAAATGGTGGTGGAGATATTAGGAACAGTGCGGGTGGTTTTATTGCTGCTTTCGCAAAGCATTTTGGCTTTGCTTCTAATAATCGTGGAGAATTCTTGGCATTTGAGGAAGGAGTTCAATTGGTTATTCAAAGTAATTGTTTTCCAATTCAGATTGAAAGTGACTCGGTCTTGCTTGTGAATGTCATTCAGAATCGATGTAATACTCCTTGGAGGCTAAAAACAATAGTAGAAAATTGTTGCACCAAACTGTCTTCTTATTGATGATCCATTACACAAGTTTTTTGTGAGGTTAACGTGGTTACTGATGCCCTGGATAAGAGGGCAGCTGCTGGCCCCGGTGCTACTGTGTGGCGCCATAGACCACCGGATTTTCTTTCCTCTCTTTTATTACATGATTTGGCACAATTGCCCTACCATAGGGTTGTATCTTAATTGTTTTTCTCTGCTCTTTTATTAATGAAAAACGGGTAGGGGGCCTTCTCCCCCACAACTTACCCAAAAAAAAAAGCCAAGCTCTAAGTTCAACTAACAACCTTGGTCATCAGAAAGTTGGATTTAAAATTGAATTGAGTGAAGTTTCTCAACTGTAGAAAGTTACCAATATGATCTGGATATGCATGGTCTTACCATTGGAAATATTGCAGAATTACTTATCCTGTAAGGGCCTCTCTTGACAACAAGAACCGGAACAATATATCCC